TTATTTCAAAATTGAAGTTATCATATGACAAATATTCAGTGGACAAAGTTTGAACAAAAATCTATTGTCACTTTTATTTCAGAGGAATTACCTTAAGATACATATATTTTTACAGCTCTTAGAAACTACGGTATAGCACTCTGATGTGCTGCGCATTCTTGAACATGTATGTGTTCACAACCCTATGATTAACCTTCTTTATTGAATCTTTTCTCGGGCTTATTAACTTGCAGTCACAGCTGTGACAGTCACATCTTCATTTTATTTGTACTTTCTACAGTTCACATCCGGGCATTCAAAATTGTCAGCGTCTGTATTTGGATTGCATATGTTTGCGTTAAATTACTTTGAGAATAACAATATGATTCTAATTTCTTACTAATTCGGAATATCTGGTATTCTTTTTACTCATTTAGGGTGTGGAAATGTTCTTGACGTGGAACAAAGATGTAGTGTTCAACGAAACCATATCAAGTATGGAAAGCTATTTTTTTACCTCAAGTTCCTTCTAAATTGAACGGGGATTTCAAAGTAATCTAATGTACTCTATATCCACGTTACTGCGGCCGGAAGGAGTAATGAATTATTTTTTGAGGAGGTTGGGACGGGGAAGGGGGGGGGAGGAAAGGGTTGGGCAATTTCCAAAAACAAAATTCCTGCACAGCAAAAACTGAAAACCTGCTGAAAAAAAATCGAGCAGGTCCTTTATACTATCATTAATTATTATTCTTGATATGAAAAAAAAATTTTTGCACAAGCTATTGCCGAGCAAAAAAAAATCATGCAGAATCTAAGATACAAAACAATTGTGCCACAGAAAATTACTCCCCCACCCCCCCCCCCGCCCCCCTGGCTCCAAAAAAAAAAAAGGAAACTGACTAGTCCACTTGCTACACACTGGCTTACTGCGTTTAATGTGTTGATTGACAGCTGCCAATCCACCGCCTATTTGCTTTGGTATTCCTCTTGTAAAGGCTGCCAAGGCCTGCGTAAAATTCACCAAGATATCGATCAAGAAGGGCCACACAGGCGCATGCGCAGCATTGGAATTCAAGGTCTTCCATGCGGCGAAAGACATTCCCCTTGGCTGCTTCTTCTTCAGGGGTGATGATGAGGGGCATGGTCTTGATATGGGAACGTTCTTGGACTCTGAATCACTCATGTTACTGCTGGAAAACCTCTTTCAAGATACAGTGGTTGGTCTTACTTGATATGATTCATTTAAGTTATTTCTCACAAGGAAACAAAAGAAAGCGAAATTTTGTCTTCTAATTAACTTTGATATCATAGGAATTTACCCATTTTCTCAAATCTGAATTTTTTTCCAATTGTCTATACCTATTTTTTGAAAAAAAGTAACATTAACTCAAATGAAACAACTTTCTATATCTTAAGGATATATGCCCGCTAAAGGTCGTTTACTTCAGCTCAGCATGTTTCTTCCGTCAAGACCCAGGAGGGTGGGGAAGAGAAAAGGGAAGAGTATGACGGCGTGGGACTGGTTGGAGGTTAAATAGTAAATTTACGCTTTGCTTATCAGTCTTGTAAACCGCTTCAGTTAAAAAATGAAATATACGGGTACTTATATTATTATATAGAAATAACCTCCTAAATATAACGTTTTATTTCTCAATGTATTACTGACTGTAAATTTGTCTACTGTTGATATTCTGGATTTTGTCTATTGTTCACAGTCACGCCTTTTGCATGTGATTTGACCAATCCGAGGTCTGAGGTTCTTACCATGTGCATTTAGTAGACAATTAATTGGCTTTTGTGCCGGCCGGTTGTTCTATTTTTTGCTGCTACACTTTGCTGACGATATCCAACGAGGTCGAAACAGCTGTTCTCGGTTGCAATTCTAAGTCTTTCTACGCAGTTATCGGCTTTGCTTCATTTTTATTTTACTGTTTATCGCGTTCTCGCCGTCTCATTTAAAAGCTTTGCTCTCAAGCCAAAGGAAAATACCGCGATAACGTATACTGAGCCATACTAAATCTCTTTCAGGGAAACAAAATTGACAGCACTAGCTCTTTGGCTCACATGCCATATAAGGACAAACTGAGTGATGACGTCACCGAGCTTGTGACAGCTGATCAAGCCAGCTGTCAATGCGTGAAGGAACCACCTCACTGTGACTGCTGTGCTCAATTCAAAGTGTTTGGGTTCCCTGTGAAAGGTAACATATTTTGAGACCTCCTTTAAATTGCATCGATTTTCATAATCAAGGGAGAGAAGAGAGGTAGATACCCTTATCGCTTTAACCACTTACATCATCCACAGACTGAGAACCAGCAAGTCGCTGCGCCATGTTTTGTTGGAATGATGGCTCTACCCTGATAAAATGTTTTATTATATGGAGAAGAGTGTTTTACTGGGAACTAAACCACTCGTAGATTCCATACGCCAGTTCATCCGGGACCCGAGTGGCGTATTTTCCGTATGTCACCTTTGTGAGTGTCGTATCGTTCAATGACGTCACGATTCCCGCCTTTCGCTTTTGTTGAATTGGTTTCTCCATATAATAAAAAGAACATTACACGTTGGCTCAAAGATATGAATTTTATGTTCTCGTGGCAAGAACAATATCTCACGAGTGAGCGAAGCGAACGAGTGAGATATTGTTCTTGTCACGAGAACATAAAATTCATATCTTCGAGCCACCGTGTAATATCCTCTATATATTTCAGTTCCTTGCCGGCTAATATTAATACCCCCACACTGCCCGGCGGGCTCTGGAATGTAAATTTTGGCAAAACAAAGTTGAATAATCTTACTGCGGATGACGTCCAACTCGAAATTTCAAATTACCACCCCACACCCCCTGGTCACAAACTTTCACAACCCAACCTTCTCTGTTTACTTACATTCATCACATAACCCTGATCACTTACTCTCAACATTCAATCTTTGACTTCTTCGATCCTTAACCATCCCCTCAAAATGACTTGATGAAAGCGTTATGTCACCCAAAGCTGAGGTAAGTGAAAGACAGAATTCCATGATATTCAGTAGCTTTCAGTCCTATTTTTGCTGATTATTTTTCAGCTTGTGTACATGGAGATGTGGATCAATCAGATACGGTAAGAGAAACAAGCTTCGAGTGTTACGCCTTCTCCTTTACTGACTGCTCCCTGAGTCACTAACTCAACGTATTCCTGTTTCTCGTCTCTTCTTCTCGTTACTTTTTCTTCTCTTTTATTTCTTCTGGTCTGGCCTGGTCTGGCCTGGCCTGGCCTGGTCTAGTCTGGCGTGGTCTAGTCTAGTTTGTTCTGCTCTGTTCTGTGCTCTGTTCTATCCTCAGTTTTTTAAACAAATATATGTGCATGGCAGAGCTTAGCAAACAAAAAACCAAATTAACTGCATAAATACTTCCCACCTTTATTTAAAAAAGGATCTTCTGCTGACGTTCTAAGCAATTCACATTGTAATTCTTATTTTGATCTCTTTCAGGGATTCGACGTGGCGGTTATTGTCAATGATTTCACTGTGTTCAAGAAACATATATCTGGTTCGTAGAAAATAGCAACATTCTTGCTAACTAAAGGACCTATAGAAAAAACAAAAATAAAACCGGGAGGGATTCATAACCACATTTATTATTTGAAAATGTGCTTCACCTTGGCTTCTCAAACTCATTAATAATTCATCAAGTTAAAACAAAGAAAATCACAACCTTTGATACCAGGTCTTAATTAGCGTAGATTCTAACGACTTCACCTCTCCTTTTACTCCTTAGTTATCGTTTTGATTGAGAAGATATATCAAACGCTCGAGACAGTGTTTCATTGGCTATTCAAACACCTCGACTTTCGTCAAAAATACTCCGCTGCGCCGCGTCGTATTTTCAACTCTCTTCTCGGTGTTTGGATGATCCCGATGAGATACAGTTTCTCGTGTTTTGATATATTACCCGGCTCAAATATCGTCCCACAACTCATACATTTTATTCTTTACAGAAAAATGTTGGGTCGCTATCGGGCGTGGTCGCCCTCCCCCAAAGTGAGTTAGCCTCCAACCTAGCCCATCCTGCGCCCTTCACTTTGTGGCAGTTAATAGTCGTTAGAATGTTTGTTCAGTTTGAAGTAAAGGGTAGCCTGAAATGTAAGTCGCCTCTACATCCCGTCCCTCCACTCAAACCTAGGATTTGTAGCTAAACTAAAGCGTAACAACAAAATTGTCTTGTTAGGAAGAAAGCAATACTAACTGCAGAATCGTTTCTTTAATTTTTATTTTTAGTGGCAGATCCCCCTCCAATCTGCAAGCGCTTCGTTCTCTTCCATTTCAAAGTCAACGCGTGCCTCAAGCTCACGAATGTGTCGCTGAAACCAGGTCACGCGGGCGCATGCGTGGAGCTGGACGTCAACACCACAAAAATCTCCTTGGGTTGTTTCTACATGGCTCGCCAGGTTACCAAGGAATAGACAACACAGCATGGTTACCAAGCACGTGAGAAATCGAGAAATAAGAGCTGTTAAAATTAGCAATTATATCTCGCAGGATGTAAACAGTAAATTCAACTTTAAAATGGCAAAATAAATCCTTTCTAACAGGCTTTGCTTACGGGCAGTAAAATAATAAATTGCGATTTTGCTGAGGACTTAGTGTGTTGTTGTCTACGAAGCTGTTCAGCTGGAGAAAATAAAACAATGAAATAGAGCTAACAGGAAAGATTGAGAGAGCAGTCATATTTGATTACTCAGATACAGCAACGAAACAAACATGACAGGTGTCATAGCGCCTCGTCTGAAACGAAGCTTATCGAAACTGAACAAAACCAGGCAGCTGCAATCACTGTCCAAGGCTTGATTTCTGCTGCTCTCTCGAGTCTGGTCCTACAAACAAACAAACAAACAAATCAACGCACAGTTTTTGACAGTCGTATGTCGAATCGGGCGAACAGAATACTAGTACAGTCACTCTACGCTATACACTCCAAGTTGGTCAGAACTCCTTTAAACACTCGAAGAGAACAGCCTTTCAAAAAGTAACATATAAAATCTAGCTGCTCCCTTTTCCTGATAGCGATCTTGTTGATGGGAACAATAGCCTTGACATACCACGCATCACTTTCAAGGTTATAGCACTCAACTTTATTGCTGAATTTCCCTGGACTCTGATAACGCATTTTCGTGCGCCCACCCAGTACGTATAAAGTCTCGTCAACCAACATCATACTCCCCCAAGTTCGACGAAGTGTCAAGTTGGACACAAACTGCCACTCGTCAGTTAAAATGTTGTAAACTTCACAAGTTTCCAGGTATACAATTTCCAGTCCATCCGATGTCGAACCTCCAGCAATGAAAATCTTTTCATTTTTACAGACACCAAAAGCGTCACACCTCGCCTGATTCAAAGGCGCTATTTTTTGCCATTCATTTTTCTCAGTATTAAACCTTGTACATTCCGAGAGCGATCTGTCTAACCTGTTCCTCACACCTCCACCGATGACGTACATGTAACTGTCTACAGCCACAACGCAAAAAGATACTCTATCAACCCAGTTATGCAAGGGCGTCAACGAATTTGAGTCGAGGCTGGCTGCCCAAAGAGTGGTCGAGTCAGTTTCTTCTACAATGAAACAGATTTGGTTTTCGACAACCAACGGCTTTCCTACGGAGAATGGGAGGTTGTTTGTCCACGGTGCTGGAGACCAGCGGTTCGAATCTGGGTCATAGCATTGCGATCTGGCTATATCATCAGTAATAAAAAACACTTTGCCTCGACAAGAAACTGTCGCGGAAACTTTGTGTTCCGTGGTCTTGAGTCGCTGGCATTCAGTTGCTGGCAGAAGGTACCATTCGTCTGTTGCTGGAAGATAAAAGCACGGTTGCAGTTCTCCAAAAAAATCCGCGATCACGATAACATTTATCGTTAAAGATTTCCTAGGAGAATGCGAGCGTGAAAAATCACAATCTGTTGGCCGATCAAGCCACTCTAATGCGCCTCTCACACTGTCGAGGCAGTCTACGTTTTCTCTCACAAGACCATGAGTCACGACATGACTCCGTAAATAGTCACGCGATACATAAGTAAGTCGTACATGACTAAACAGTTCGCTGAATTTTCCGCTTCTTCCGCGTTTGTCGTGATCAATCCATCTTAGTATGATTTCAAAAACGTTTTCCTCGGCGTCAATCACTATCTCATCGCTTGAAATCCATTTTTCAACCTCATGGCTTGGCAAATTTAGAAACTCGTTTGAAGTAGTGACGGTGGTAAAGTCTGAATTGATGATTTTCCGGGTGCTCGTGATCAGCGTCTCACATGAATATTGTTCTGCCAAGTAGTTAATTGAAAAGCAGGTCTCAGTGGTGATGCGTTGCACGAGAAATTTTTCGGCGATAGTTTTAAGATTTGAAAGGAGAAGAAAATCAGCCGTTTCGATCAGGTTCTCTGCATTTTCTTGAGTAGAAATCAGAATACTGCCACTGTAAATAAACCGCAGAATGTCCGCCATCTGAGACTCGGTTATCGTGTGAAGCCGAATAACTCCTTCATTACTCTCTTTCATGTTGCTGCTGAGAAGCCTTTCAAAGAATGGACTCGCTTTTGAAAGAACTTTTCGGTGAGCATGGAACTGCTTTCCATCCTTCACCACCAAAGTTATGTCAAATGGAGCTACACCTTGACATGAGATTACCTCACCGAAGTCAAGTCGATTCATGTTACTTTTTGGGTTGAACTTTGTCCTGATTCGTGGTCAGCGGTTGGGTTGCTGGTCGAAACCCAGAAAAAAAAAAA